AAAATGACTCGATTGCTTGTAATTTCCACATATTAGAGCATATTTGTCTATAAACCTTAGATTAGGGCATTCACTAGGACAATGATCAATTTATCGACACCGGTAGCAACGTAGTGGTTTTCAGCCCATACCATCAGATATACTTGAATCTCCACTGGAATATATCTACTAGGCCAATTCCAAGTAGCCATAGTAAATGATCTTACTTGACCAGTTGCTACTGGTCAAGATTTGGACTGTTGAATTGGTATAATTTGGGAATTAACCCCTTGATTTTTTCCATTGTTCTGCATATTTATTCCATAAACTGGATTATAATTAGTATTTTGAAAATTTCCAAAGCCACGATTAGGTCGATTTGGGTGATTACTATTCCAACCACTCATATTTCTAGTTTGTACTTGATTATCATCCCATTGAATTGGCTATATTAATGTCTGGTTATTGAATTGTTGTTGCCAATAGTTTTGGATAGTGCTTTCCTCCACAAAATGTACATTGAACATCCGTTTGTTTGGGTGATGGACATTTCCTATCAAAATGACCTTATCCCTTACAATTATTACACCATACATTAGGTCTTGTATTAGAAGGCTTATGTCATTTCTCCTTATCTTTAGCCAAATTCACTGCCAATTCTTCTATCTTCTTTGTTAGATTTAATAAGAAGGCTTCATTTGGATCTTTAATAGTCGTATTTGTGAACAATTCCAGTTGTTGATATGTTGGCAATGTAAAATAAGGTGTCATTGTTATTGGCGCTATTGCTTGGAGTGGTGTAGCAAAACTGATTTTTGCAACATAACATTCTTCATATTGGAGTCAGCCATTTGTGGATAATTATCCATCGACACATTTCTCGATTGTATTTGTTGGCTTCCTAAACTTGGAATCATTGTGGCCTCCACTATTAACAATTGGTCATAATGACATCCTTGCCACACTTTTGTTCGAGCCAACGATGCCTCTACCATAGCTGATCGAGCCTCTTTTACAAATATTTTCAATTCCGATGGATGCAAACCATTGATTAATATTGAAAATATAAATGCATCTAGTATTTGATTATTTGGCCATTTACGAAGTATATCCACGACCCGGCGATAATAGGACTCTACTAATTCTCCCACAAACATCTTGCTATTCATAAAACTTTCTGTAAGCCAATCTTCAAATCCAATTGGTCTAAAATGGATTAGGAAGGCATTCCTCAAGGCCTCCCAATTGGAAAATCTAGCCATTGGTTGCCGATTACACCATTCAAAAGTTATATCTTTTAAAGTTGTTGGTAACCATCTCAACCAAATGTCTTCAGCTCTACCATTATTAGTCATGCAAGCTATTAAGAATGGAGATATATTGTGATTGGGATCAGAGCCCGACCAACTACTAAAAGTAGGTAATGGTCCCACACTTATACTGTGGTCTCCTACTGCTCCCATTTGTACCGCAATTGATACTTGTGGCACTCCTACGGCCATTGGTGTTATCACTAGTCTCCTTGCTATTTGAATTTGAATTTTTCTTCCTTTGGTTTTACTTGGATCTACAATTCTTTTTTGTCATTTCTGTAGGAGATTTCTTATGCGTAAACACTCATGTCTTTCTTTTGCTTATCAATTAATTCTTTGATAATCCTCCCTTTCATGATTATCACTCATAGTCTTTCATTCTTCTTTACAAAATTAATATTGTCTTGAATTATAACTCACATATTTGTAACCCTAAAACTGGTTCTTCTCACATTCTCATTCAACATATAATTCCATCTCCCATACAATCAATTTCTAATATTTCATATTGTTATCATTTCTCCGGCAGTGGCGTCAAAATGTTATTTTTGTTGTATTCAAGCTTCAATATACCAAAGCAATTGAACTAATAGAGGTGGGTTCGAACACGGGGAAAGACTAGTTATATGATTTGGGTCTATTAGTATCACAATTGATTATACTCTAGCTATCTGAAATCAATTATCAAACTATAAAATACCAAGGCTTACTACTTCCGTCTTAATTCAATCCATAATCCATTCTATGAATATCAATTCAACAATACTTCCATATTCTTATTGGTTCATCTTCCACTTACTCTCTTTGTAATTTATATATATTCATCTATTGATCTCCAACTTACTTATTATATTCAAATTCTTAATTCATCAAATAAAATTCAATATCTTCACTTAATACAACACAATTCGATAATCTCAATTCTCAAGGTCAAATTTTTTTTCCAACACGATAAGTCCAAAGTCATATTCCACAATATTCTAATCACAGTTTAAACAATACTTCTTTCAATCACAATTCTTCATAAGCAAATAATAAAAGCAAAGAAAATAAAGAGGTCGCACCAAGCTTATTCCGGCTTACGACTCTCACAATCTGGCCTCGGTCTCTCTTTTTTCAACCTCTTTATCCTACCAAAAGATGGACAATCAGCTTGCAGATTCCAAAGGTTATGAACCTTTCAATTCTTAACCATTTGTTCTACTAATAACCTACTATTACCAAGTAAATTGCCTAACCATAAGTCTAATTCTCAAGGTTATCAATAACCAATCAATAATTTACCACAAAATTTATTTACATATTCTACAAAATATATATCACTGTTTATGGCCTTTAAAGAAGTCACAATACAACCATCTACAATAACTATAGTTGAGGCATACATCCCTATTTATCTCTAAGAAAATGCTACTAAAATTCATCATTAAGCTTCTAACTAATGATTTCTTAAAATTAATTTTTAAAGTACAAGAATAGTGTAATATGTCTTCAATGCCTCAAAAATTACTCAATATGCTTTATTTTCATAATCAAGTACTAGCATTTGTAAAATCTTTTTTTATTTTAAATTTTTTTTTATTTTTTTCTATCTCTTAGCTTTAAATCAATGAAGCAATTCAATGAGATACCGTACTTAAATTTTAAGAGCTTGATGATAGATTATTAGAACAATAGTGTAGATTTTATATGAATATATTCAATAAGTATAGCTTTCAAAAATTAGAATAGGATAGATGACAATGTCGCTATAAAAATATAAGGTGTGTATATGGTTTCTCAACATATTTAATCAATAAGACTACTTAGATGTTAGAAAAAAGACTAAGAATTATTATATACATAATCCCATCTTGTTAAGCTTTGTTTTAAATAAAGCCTTGGCCACTTGGCACATGTTTGTCAATTCTATGTTAGATTTCCATTTGTTCAGTATTATTGCAATGCTTCTAGCCTTGTCCATAATGACTAATCAATCTGAAGGCTGCAAATCAATCTCTTATATTTGATTATTGTTAGCCTTAAGGTGGATCTCCACAAGTTTGTAAAATATTACTAATGTCAATATAGGGCATCATTATGAAACATAGTGAATCATTGTAGAGCTATATATCTAAACCAAGATCAAAAGAATAAAATACGAACATGTTTTGCTTGATATCAAAATATGAAGGCAAAAGAGAGTACAATCTTATTTTCTTTCTTTTCAAACTTTGATCATCCTACAATGCATTTGGATGATTCTCCTATACATTATTATTTCTTAAAAAAAAAAAAAAAAAAAAAAAAACATGACAACAACAATAAGAATGTAATAAAAAAAATAAAAATATTTAGCTATTGGAAATACTACAAAATATGCAACATGATAATGAACCAAACATATTGATTTAGCCACACAAAAATATCACAACATTTTATGTAAAAACCATATAAAAATTCCATAAAAAAAAAAATTTTGAACTTACAAAAAATTTAGAACATTTGAGTTGGGTGGGATTTAATTTACTGTTTTTATAATCAACAAATTCCTCAAGTTTTGATACATGACTTGCAATGCCTTCCATGTGATTGATTGTATTTTCTAAGTTATTTGGAATGAAAGTCCTAGTGGCACTTGGTTCATATGCATAGCCGATTATAAAGAAGTTGGCAAGAAACATCATTGTAGACAAGAAGTGAACAGTTATGAGGTTTTTGACATCTCATACATTAAAATGGAATTTGAATTCAAGGCCTAAATTTGACCTATTAGAATTATATGATGTGAATGACATCATGGCAACTGTGCCAATCAACTTAAAAGGGAGTGAAGACGAGACTATCCTCCTCACTCATGAGGATGATGATCTAGCTCACTATCATGACCATATTACATAGGATGGAGTGACATTGGATTGAATTAATCATAATATAGCCAAGGAGGTGTGGTTTTAACAAAATTGAGATGTTGCTTTAACAAGTCCCTATAAATATTATATTGTAAAATTAAAAATGATTAAAATTTACAAACATGTCTTATCTTTTGTATAATGATTATGTTTTGTTTGAAAACATTAATCAAATATTAATGTGACAAAAAAGAATTTAATACACTTTAAAAAAGAAAAACCAACAAAAAAACTAAATAATAGTTCTAAAATATACTTAATCATTAATCAGTGGTACTTAATGTCATAAGTAATATGAATTTATTTGCATTAATTTCTAAATAAGTCAAAATTAGCCATATTTAGAATAAGGCAAAAATATTATAATAAAGAAATATCTTACAATGTTTTAAGATCTTAATGAAATAGGATTTTCTTTTATTTTTGATAACATCAAATATTGAACCAAAAACCTTGGTACCATTCAATTATCAGACATAAAAGTAGTGAAATGAACAAAAGTAAACAAAAAAACGTTTTATAATTAATCTTTGTCCACTATTTTCTTAAATACCTCTGATATCATTTTAAAAGAAAATAATCAAATAAATAAATGTTACAATATAATAACGTGCTTGACATCAAAACCTACTTATTAGAATAAACACAATACTCACATCAAGCTAAAACAAATTCCTAACTAGAATGAAATTTCATGACATCAATTTATTTCCACTTGCTTAAAATACCATGTTATTTGAAGAAATGAATTTGCAAATAAATTGCAAAAAAAGGGGTGACACAAATACTTCCATAAGAATTAGAGACGAAAAAAATGAAAAAATAAAGAAAAATCATACTTCATCAAAACTTAGCAGCATAATATCTTGCATGATACTACAACATAAAAAGATAAAATAAATAACTAAATGTAGAATATTGAAAATTTAAGTAACACAGGATTAGGCTCTGATCAAATCATTGCATTGTACTTGCTCTCACGCTTCCTCAGGAGCATTCTTCTTTTCTAATGTGCAACAATCTGGTTTCTTTTGCTCAATAACCCTCCAAATGCATACATTCAAGCGAAGGTTGTCAAAGCCATCCTGTTTACCAATTGGTTCGTAATATTCAGAGCTGTTGTAAGAGGCAGGTTTTTAACGAGCTGAAATTGCCCGCCTTCAATCTTGTGATGCCATTTTCACTGCTTCTGTGCGTCACCACCTTCTTCAAAGGTAAAAGTTGATTTCAATTTCGCATCTATCCCTGGTATTTTACCCAATGCATGCAGAGGAATTGTCAATTGCTGCACACTCACTAGGCCTATCAGCATTGATTACCTGCCAAATAACCTGAACGTTTAAGAGTCACGATATCATTCCTGCAGAGAGGTCGTCATAAATTAGGCAGTGAAAATGGTGCATAGCTTGCTCCACACGAGGGGCGTAGCGTCCAACATCGTATGCTGGTGACGATAATCCATTTTGCACATCCTCGCACAATATTATGTCTTCCTTCTGCATATGATGTCCGTTTTACGGTATGAGCCATCGCATAGATACTAAAGATCCTCGTTATAAGCACTGCCATATACCATCTATTGATGCGGTCTCACAAAAGATGGCATTCTAAGTAGTGAGACACTGCCTGTGCTACAATGATTTGATTTGAATATAAAAGTAAGGCAAGCTTTAATATATACATTCTAAACAGAATAGAACACTTCTCAAGTCACTTCACCTGCACCACCTCGCTGTCTGCAATGCTGCTATCGATGAACTCCTTGTCATGCTGTGACATGTAACACCTAGATATGAGAATAATGTGGTCTCTTTCCACCCAGTCCAGACGAAGCCACTACAACTACAACTACTGTTGTTACTAGATATTCTTGAACGCATAGGGGGTTCCCTCCTACTCATGCAGAGAAAAGCAGAATACCGTGCTGCATTCAAGTTAATGGAACTGGAAGGGTTAAAGCATATGATCAAAAAGGATTCTCAGACAGTGTGCTTACCACTAGAGAGGGTTCAAGAAACCAGTCAAATATCACCCGACACTCTGACATCGAAATGGGAATCACTAAATTTGTATCCATCCATGGCCCATACCTGCAAACATGAATAAATACAACGGTTACATTAGAGCCTTAGTTTTTTTGTTACCCTTGAATAACAAGAATACTTCCCAATTCTCTACAGCACATGACGACAACGAATACCTCCCACTAGATTCAAAAAAGCCGCTCCATATCACTACATTGAAGTACCCACAGGGTTAGCCGCATCGAGGTCCCATGCAAACAATGAAGGAACCAGCTTTGTACCTGTTGATCATGAAATTTGGGTACACGAATGCATAAGTTGCTACATTTCCAACTCTTACTAATCCACTTTCCTTCGCTGCACCGCAACTCTGAATGCTCACCCTCTCCAGCAGCTTTACAAATCCCACCAGCAACCCTTCAGCAATGAATGCTCAACAGTGCCAAATAATACGATCTCCACAGCAAGAAGCACACAGTACACTGCATTCATTCCGCCTCACTCCTTTCTGAGAGCATTAGCACGCACACAGAAAATCGTCACCATGCAAAGGATAAGCGCGGAAACGAAACTTTTGTCTTGAAAAGAAAAACAAAGCGTAACAAAGCTATGCTTACACTTGTAGAGTATGAGGGAAGGTCAAGACACGCAGCAAGAGAGGAGTGTGCATGGGGTACATGGTAACCACCATCCAGATAATTATCACAATAAACCTGCAATCCCAAACCATTACCAATCATTTGATGGACCACATCGTTGCACACAAGATACAGCTGCCCATTGACTGGCTCACATTTTCAAGTTCCTAAAGTTGCAAACAAAACACTTCAATGTTCTATAGGCAGACAACGATGAAACTCCTCACATGCGATGTTGATGGGTTACAAAAGAAAACCAATTGAACTCAACGTCCACCTTCCAGTTGCATTTGATCACATATTCACGAGTGGCCACATGTTGCATAGTGCTATCTATTCCCGCAGAAGACAGAGTAGGCCCGGCGGAGCCCAACCAGCCCTCCTCGACATCGCTGCTAGCTTCTGAAGCTTTGCTCTCTGCCAAGCTAATGAGCACAAAAGGACCCCAAGTTGCTGTACGGATGGGCACCAATCCATTCTCCTGCACCACGTGAATCCGACACGACAATAAGACTGATTTGAGTGTCGTTCATTCCCTCTCCCTACAATGCTAGATTATGCTGGGGTGATTCAATTTATTCGTCCAGTAGATACGAACTACCGACAGTGTCAAATCAACGTGAAACTACGTGTAACATGGGTGATGTAAAGTTTCAGGGCAAACACGTGAAAAACTTGGAAGGGGGAAGGGGGGGGGGGTGTGTGCGATGTGTACTTAAGACTGGGCAGAAATCTGAAAATGACACAATAAATTCTAAGTGATTCGGTCACAATGAACGAAGGCTTACTCGGGCCGAGAAATTACGGATGCCCGCAAGTCGACTGGCCTTCTGTAATCGTCCATCTAACCCATAAGTCCATCCCTACGTGGCAGGATACATGAGACCAATAAGTTGATTAACAACCAATTCCAGGCTTGAGAAGGATATTTCTACAGTTGGAGCATCTGAGATTGATCAAATTTGAACAGCGCTGCTAAGAGGAAAAGGAGGACTGTTAGTTGCAAATGAAGACATCTCATAGACTTGCCAAACCATCACACAATTGGAAGAGACGGGGACAAGAGGATTACATGATAGGGGCAAACGAAAGAATGTGTGCAACCGGAACCCGACGCCACCGCCGCAGCGTGGTGGCGGCAAACATTGTGGAACGCTCGAATTTGCCCCTCTCCATCTTTGCACACCACGTAGCGTGTCTTGCCTACCCTGCCAGCATCCCAAACATGTTCCTCACCAGCTATAACAAGCTCCACAAGAACTTCGAAGGAAATTTTCTAAATCTCTATTCAGCTATTTCAAAGAAAAAAAGGAGAGCCAACCTGCCTGTAAAGAAACTGCCCGGCTCCTCCATCTGCTTGATATGCCCTGTGTAGACAGCAAAATTTCCAAAGTCTCATAAGTTCCATCACATCCATTTTCGTTTCTCTAATTTTTGCTTCCAACATAACCCAATCCGTGCTCAGATCTTACAGGCAGGGAGCGCTAAACGACAAACTTGCCTACACCCAGCACATTCGTCCCAGGTGTTCCGATGAAATATAAGATCATTCACACCGATGATCAGTGCCTCTAAGTTGTTTTCTTATCTTGTTTCAATTCCAGCTTCCTTGTCAGGTTGTCAGAAGCACATCAAGACTGCCAGATAAGAAAGAATTACCAACAGCTTGCCAACATCGCCCAAACACGCGATCTATCTCGAAGTCCGCAAACTCGGCATCGGTGTACCACGCACTGGGCGGCGTTGAAGCTTCTTCAACAGGAGCATGTCGTCTGAACTCACGAAGCGTCCTCTCCACTCGCGGTGACGATGGCGTCGTCTTCAACCCAGTCAAGTCATCGTCCCCTCCAACACTGCTACGATTCCGACAACTCAAGCCCCCGAGCGGCGATTCCACTATCTGGGTGAGATTCTCGCCGCCCCATATCGTTCCAGACATCGTACTCCACAATTCTGACATCCGCCATGCTTGCGCGATCCATCGCTGCGGCAAGCAAAGGGGAGATCTCACGCGGCGATGTTTTAGGGTTTGAGCTACCCAAGCTCCCATCTTTCCTCACCTTCTGTGCCAGTTTCATCTCCACTCACAACGACATCGTTTCCCACAAAATGTTGTCCCCCAACTTGTCATCAGCCACAGCACCCATCAGAATCGGTCCCTCTTCCAGAACCCCAATCCCCAAAAAATTATCTTCAAAAACCAACTGGATGGCCAGCTTGAGGAAGAAACGAGTCGGCAAACTTTGGCTTACAAGCTCACGAACTTGTCAGAAGTCCACACATTCTTTCAATCTCAAATACCTGCGCCAATTGCATGTGAGCATGTGATCTTAGTAGTACAAAGTTGTATAAATAGATATGGCCTAGGCCATTTGAGTATTCGATCAGATATGGCTTTGGTTCCTTTCTCTTAGTAAAGTTTGGTTTGCATTTTTTTTTGGTTTTGTTTTGTTTTGTTCTATTCTATTCTATTTTTTTTTGCTTTGTTCTGCCTTTCATATTTTATTTTGTTTAGTTCTATTTGGTTTTGTTATGGTCTATTTTGTCTTATGTTGTGATGGAATTTATATTGCTATAGATTAAAAGGGTTTTAGATCTTAAAAAGAGTTCAATTTTGTTTCATTGGTATGAGAGTGAGTGTTAGTATGTTTTTTGATAGTATATTGATAACCACCATCTAATTGGATGTTAGTTGTTGTGGTCACATTGGGTATTGTTTTGGGGCTACTACAAGCTTCTTTTAAGAAGTCAGCTAGAAGAAGAGAAGGCGTTATAATAATAGAGTTCAGCAAAGAAATTACAACATAGAAGATACGACATAGCAATCTTAGATAGATACTTAGATACAACACCTTTTAGACTAAATAACTACTTTACAAGGACAAATGGAAGCCTTTAAGATAAAAAAGTTGACTTTTGCTAGGTTAAAATTGAGCAAGCCTGATACATATTTTGGAACATCATGGCAAGAAGATATATGCCTATGGCTCTTTAGCATACGACAATACTTCCAACTATTTGGAGCAAACACCATTGAAAGAATTATGTATGCAGCCAACTACTTGAGAAGTACGGCAACTATTTGGTGGCAACATTGAGCTCAAAGCTATAGAGCTCAAGGTGGATTTTGTTACTAAAAAGAGTTTGAAATTCAGCTTAGGAGTCAATTTTGGCCCATCAATGAAGAGAAGTTAGCATGCAATCAGTTGGCTAATGTTATATAATCTAATTCAGTGTAAGATTATGTCTCTCAATTCAAGTCTTTATATCTTCAAATTGGCAATGTTTCAAAGGTGGTGATGATGGATCAGTTTGTATGACGGTTGAAACTTATAGTCCAAAGAGAGGTGGAATTAAGGAATTTACAAACATTTGAAGAGGTAGTTAGAATTGCAGAGAAAGTTGATGCTATGAATTTTAGAAACCGTGGAGCACAACATGTAATGTCGAGTCCTATGTCACTATTTAATACTATGGCATAACAACCAATACCGATGGAGATTGATGTCATAAAAGGACAATTGATACTATAGAGATGACAAATATTGGTATAGAAGGGATTGTCTTTTTACTATTGAGAGCTAGACCATTAGATCAAAGATTATTCAAAACATCAAAGTTCAAGCATCAACAAATCAAGGTAGGTTCACAATCTTGGGGCTACCAAATTAATAAAGAAGTAGAGTAGGGAAACAAGGCTCTCTGATAAAGGCACTAAAGGCGAGTATTAGTAATAGTTGCTATTTCTTAGAGAAAAATTGCATGGCATCATATAATTATCAGAAAGGTCAACTGATGTATCTAATACATGGATTGAGAAGAGAGCTATGTGGAGTGCTTATGGATTTTGGCTCTATAAAAAATTACATTTTAATTGGAATTGCCGATCGACTTAGGATTGAAACCAAAAGATCAAAAGAAAGAGTATATATCTAACAGATGATCAAAAGAATATATTGAATGAAACATGTAAAGAAGAAATCTTGAGGGAGAAGTTCAAGGTAACAAAGCTCAAATATGACGTTATTCTTGGTATGTCATGGCTAGAGGTGAAAAATAAGAAAATTAATTGGATGATCTTTTTTAAAGATAGTAGAGACAATGTGACTCTTCATACCTCTGTATTGAATGAGATAGCAAAATAATCTATAATTATAGGCTTATTTGTATAGATGATCTTTATGAAGAAGCAAATATAGCATAAGCAATCAATATATGTGGTGGTTCGAAATCATACGTCAATGGTAGAAAAGACAACAAAAAGAGTAAAATAAGTAGACCAATTCATATTTAAATATCAAAATGTCTTTCTAACCAACTTATTTAGTGGTGTGCTACTTAATTGAGGTATCTCTTTTCAAATTAAATTATTGTTTAAGGCCAAAATTAGTAAGTCAAATAATTTATTGCCTATCACCAAATGAACTTGAAAACTATAAAAGACATTAGATAAATTCTTGAAAAAGGACCTCATTCTAAAAAATACATTGCCATGGAAAGTATCTATACTCTTTGCATCCAAAAAGGATGGTAGACTTTGGCTTTGCATCTACTATTGAGGCCTCAATAAGCAGATTATCAAGAATGCATATCCATTTTTACGCATAGATGATCTTTTTGACCAACTTCAAAGTACAATTATTTTTAGCAAATTTGACCTTTGAAGTAGCTATTGGTAGACACCTATTATAAAAGAGGATATTAAAAAGATAACATTTTGTCTATACTATGGATATTTTAAATAGCTTGTTTTATCTTTTGGCCTCATGAATACTCCAGCCTCCTTTATAGATCACATGAATAGACTGTTTTGAGACATTTTAGATAAGTATATACTTTTCTTCATTGATGATATTCTGCTCTATAATAAAATCCTTAAGAAGCATGGACAACATCTACAAAAAATAATGTGCCAACTATGAGATAGTTGTTCTTATTACAAGCAATCAAAGTATGAACTTTGGAAGTTAAAAGTCATCTTTTTGGCACATATAGTATCTTCCAAAAGTATACGCATGAAGTAGAATAAGATAAAAGCAATGAAGGATTGGCCAACCTTTAAGGATGCTTTTGAAGTTTGCTCATTTTTAAGCCTTGTTGGATATTATTGCTATTTTATTAGGTAATTTATATACATTGGTGCCTCATTGAAAAGCCTTTTGGAAAAAGGTGCTCCATTTGAATGGAAATTGGAGCAAAAAAGAATCTTCAATAAGTTGAAGGAAGTACTCATTACTGCTCTAATATTACAATTATATGATTCCAACCTTTCTTATACTTTTAACATTGATGCTTTTGACTTTGCTACTAGTGTGATCTTTCAACAAGACTTTGGTTGGAGCCTTCAACTTATGGCATATGAATCACATAAGCTTAGAAGGGTAGAGTGCAATTACTTTATATGTGATTAAGAGCAACTAAGAATTATACATATAATAAAGATGTAGCAATATTATATGATGAAGAAACCAATGATTGTTGGGACTAATCATTAGCCCTTGCTATACAATTCACATCTGAAAAATATGAAATCATGACATCATCATTAAAAAGAACAATTACAATTCTTCAACATTCAACTTGAGTACAAGCAAGGATAATAATGCACTACGCTAGATACTTTATTGTAAAGAATAGAATTGAAGTCCAAATTAGAAGATAAAGTAGAAGTTACTACCATTAATAGTATCATTTCAAACCTAACTAAAGAAGTAGAATAAAAAGAAGTTAGATATTGAAATGTTTATTTTAAGATGATTATCAATCAACTAAAGGTGGACAATGTAGAGTATTATGATTACTATCTCAATGATGGCTTGCTGTCAAGGACAAGAACTCGATGAAAAAACAATTCAAGCAAGTGAACATTCACTCAAAGAGAGGTAACAAAATATATAAGTATATATATTGAAAGAAAAACTGGAATGGCTATTGCCAAAAGACAAGAAAACTAGAGACCCTTGAAACTAGACTAGAAGTAAGAAAAGAGTTGACAAGAGTGAAGAAGCCTTCACTCTTGTCTCTATATATACTATCTAACTAAGGGCTACATGGCGACGTTCTATAGGACCTCCAATATGTGTTGACTTTGTAGGGCACATGCCTTGACTTACAAGGCAAGTTTTTCTACATGTGGGCCACATAATTAACTTGATCTTCAAGCTAACAACATGTGTGGCACATGGCCAACTTATTGACCACATTTCTAATCCAAAAAGTCAATTAAAGACACCTATGAAGTCAAAGCAGCGTCTAGGAAGTTTTTAGGAAGCTTCCATATTAAATATTATAGAATTAACATACTTTTACCTACTTTTACTTACTTCTACCTATTTCTATATGTAATTATTAGCTTACATGATTATGGCCGTGACATTACCTCCCCCTTTTAGGGACGAGTTCCACGAGGAGCGGTCATCATATGTTGAGGAAATCTATGATGCGACAAATTATATTCGCCACATACTCTGATCTTTGTTCTCTTCGAAGATGATTGATAGGGCCTCTCAACCATCGGTAGTGTCCCATACCAGGGCGGGAAGACCACCGAGTTAATTGATCATTGTTGAGGCCTTCGTAACTTCCTTCGAATAGAATATTTGGAACACCATCAGGAGTTGTTCCTACCTATAGCAAAATCACCAAACATCGGGAGTCCCTTCCCAAATCGTGATACCAAACGCGTTGTATCTCACCATCTATTCGAGGAAGAACATGTCGTTCTTGAAGATCTTCATCTCGATTACGTCGTCTTGAAGGTTGTGACAATCATAATGTCTCATCCGGCAGGTCAGCAAACGAAGGTTCTTGAGTTGAATCCGCTAGTTGTTGGCTCTCCATCTAATTAGCGTCACAAATGCAAAGAAGTTACAAACAAGGATAGGAAATTGAATGTTATCTTGCCTCAATGTTGTTTCTTTTATAAAGAAGGTTTTCATCTTGATTTTGATGGATATTGTCAATGAAAAGCCTCCATTGCCTTTGCTGCATTTGCAAGATTCTTCATTGGCTCCCATGTGCGTTCACTAATACCATATCCGCGCCAATGGACAAGATATTCTATTTTATTTCGGCGTTGCCTTGAATCTAAGACTTCTTCTACTTCAAACTCTTCATTATTGTCCACTTCTATAGGAGGAGGTGGAGCTTATCGTCTTCTTGGTATGTCCACTGTCTTGTATGATTCAAGAAGAGACACGTGGAATACTGGATGGATTTTCATTCTCTTCGATAGATGTAAACGATATGCAACTGGATTGATTTGTGCAGAAATAGAAAATAGTCCCAGCCTTCTATAGTCCAACTTGTCG